CCATTCCATTGTTCTCTTCTTGATTGTGTAATTACAGCTTTTACTTGCACTAAGAAATGGCAATAAGTGACCGTGAATCATTACAAAGCAGTGGAACCGCATCAGCAGGTTCTGCTAACAAGGAGAAGCTGCCACTCTCAGGTGGTGCTCTCTTCCAAGAAGACACTGAGATGGCGAGCTCCACCGGAGATGAGAATGACGGCAACAACATCCTCAGTCAGTACTCTCAAGAACAGGTTATGAATATGGGCCGTAACTTTGCGAAAAAGCATGATCTAGACCCTGAGTTGTTTGCAAGAGGTGCAGCAGTGGCTCGTGCACCAAACTCCTTCAACAAGCTGGCATTCCTATCACACGAGGAGAAAGAGGCATTGTTCAGAGAAACCTCACATCCATGGGACATCCCTCCAAAGTTATGGCAGATTGTGCTTTCCGTGTCGCTCTGCGCAGCAACCCAAGGTGCTGACGAGTCTGTCATTAACGGTGCTATTCTGTTTTACCCTGCATACATGGGCATTGGGAACGGAGACGAGAGATCCCGTTGGCTGGAAGGCTTGGTCAATGGTGCTCCATACCTGTTTTGCGCTGTGGTTTCCACTTTTATCACTGATCCTCTGAACAAGAAGTTTGGTCGTAAATGGGTTATTTTCTGGTCATGTGTTGTATCTTGTGTTACGTGCTTCTGGCAAGGCTTTGTCGATAGCCACTGGTGGCATTTGTTCATAGCAAGAGCAGTTTTAGGAGCCTTCGGTCTTGGTCCCAAATCAGCAACTGTTCCTGTGTACTCATCGGAAGCTGCACCTGCTGCTATTCGTGGTGCACTCACCATGCTTTGGCAGTTCTTCACTGCGATGGGGATCGCATTGGGCTATGTCTTTTGTCTTGCTTTCTACTACGTTCCAGACCACGGTGTCGGTGGTGGCTTGAACTGGCGTCTCATGCTGGGCTCTGCAATGTTACCTGCGTTCTTTGCTTTGGCCCAAATCCCATTCTGTCCTGAATCACCACGTTGGCTAATGGGTAAAGGCCGCTACAAAGATGCCTGGGAATCTCTGCGTTCTATTAGAAAACATGATATCACCGCAGCAAGAGATTTGTTTTACCAGTATGTGTTGTTGCAAGAGGAGGAGGGTATGGATATGCCAACCTCACAACGTTTGAAAGAACTATTCACGGTGAGAAGAAATCGCAATGCTTCTCTCGCTGCATTCATTGTTACATTCATGCAGCAATTCTGTGGAATCAACGTCATTGCATACTATTCGTCCTCCATCTTTGTTCAAGCTGATTTTGCAGAGATCAATGCCCTTGGTGCCTCCTTGGGGTTTGGTGCTTTGAACACAGTCTGTGCGCTCCCTGCCTTCTTCACAATTGATCGTTTTGGAAGAAGATTCCTGTTGTTGCTGACCTTCCCTCTCATGGGTGCTTTCCTTTTCCTCGCTGGCTTTTCATTCTGGATTCCTGAGGACCAAAGAGAAGGTCGTATCGGGTCTATTTGTCTCGGTATCTACCTGTTTACCGTCTTCTACTCGTTTGGTTCCGGTGTCGTGACCTTCCCTTACACTGCGGAGTGCTTCCCACTCTACGTCCGTACTCTGGGAACGTCATTGGCCATCGGAAACTTGTGGTTCTGGAACTTTGTGCTGGCCATCACCTGGCCGTCCATGCTAGATGCGTTCCATCCACAGGGAGCCTTTGGTTGGTACGCTGGCTGGAACTTTGTCGGGTTTTTCCTCGTGTTGTACTTCTTACCAGAGACAAAGGCACTCACCTTGGAGGAGCTTGACGAGGTGTTTGATGTGCCCTTGATGGAGCACGCCCGTTACCAGCATAGGGAGATCATTGACCAGTTCAAAGTGCACGTTCTCAGAAGAAAGAATGTTCAGAGACAGGAGCCACTGTACGTGAAGCACAAGATGGCCATCAAGAACCCAATGTGGAACGACAAGCCAACAGAGCAGTTTGTCGAGTAGAAGAGAGCAGGCCTGGAATGAATATATATCAGGATGACTGTGATTGTTTTGTTAGTGATTTGAAATACACGGTGTTTAATGGGATCCACGAGGTTTAGCAGAGCTCAGTAGCAGATATGGGCTCCAGAGAGCACCATATACCTTTCTTTCTGTGCCCTTTGAGTATGGTGTAGCTGTGATTGTTGGAGTCGTATACGCTTGCACGGTGCCATGTGCATCTGTCTCGTTTCGTTGCTATGGAAACGAAGGGAAACGAGGGGAAAGAGACGCAGGCAAACAAAGAAAACATCCGTACACCACAGCCCCTGCAAACCATCATCAAAGCAGCCATTACATAATACCTTACGTAATCCGCGCTAATTACCGCTTTCAGAAACAGACGCGTGTTTGCGTGTTTCTTTCCTTCCAAAAAAAGGTTTGAAGCCCCGACGTTTTCTTCCAACGCCAAACAAAGAAAAAACCCTCCCACCAACTTTTGTGTACGTGTTCAAACTTCGCTTTTGTACCTTCATTTGCTTTCCCTCAACGAGACACAAAAGCTTGTTTACAAATGTCGTCTTCTGGTGCAAAAGTCAGAGACGAGGGCATCTCCTCTCGTCTCCGTAATAAGACGCCAGCAGCAAGCGATGGCGATGAGACGATTCCGTCCCGTGAGGCCACCGCTGAGCCGGCGGGTGAGGATGTGGTTGATTCGAAGAAACAGCTTGCCGCCGAGGTTGACGAGCTCAAGTCGTCGTTGGCCAAAGCTGAGGCGATTGTGATGCCGATCTTGTTCACCATCCTTGGGTTCATCACGCGTTGCTACAAGATTGGGGCCAATAAGAACGTTGTGTGGGATGAGGCGCATTTTGGTAAGTTTGGGTCTTACTACTTGCGCCATGAGTTCTACCACGACGTGCACCCTCCACTGGGTAAGATGCTGGTGGGATTGTCTGGTTACATTGCGGGCTACAACGGGTCCTGGGACTTCCCATCTGGACAGGCGTATCCGGAGTATATCGACTTTGTCAAGATGAGACTGTTCAATGCGATGTTCAGTGTGCTCTGTGTTCCACTGGCGTATTATACCGCTAGAGGTATCGGTTTCAACACGCCAGCGGTGTGGCTATTCACCCTGATGGTGATCTTTGACACTTCTTATGTGACATTGGGTAAATTCATTCTGCTGGACTCCATGCTGATGTTCTTCACCGTGGCCACGATGTTTTGCTTTGTGAGATTCCACAACGAGAGAAAAGCGCCATTCGGACGTAAATGGTGGAAATGGATCTTGCTGACAGGTATCTCCATCGGTTGTGTCTGCTCTGTGAAGATGGTTGGACTGTTTGTCACATCTTTGGTTGGTATCTACACCGTTGTCGACTTGTGGAACATGATGGCTGATAAGTCAATCAGCAACAAGAAATACGCGGCACATTGGGGTGCAAGAATCTTAGCATTCATCGTGGTGCCAACTTTGATCTTTATGCTCTCTTTTAAGATCCATTTCGAATTGCTGAGTGGTTCAGGTACAGGTGATGCTAAGATGTCCTCGTTGTTCCAAGCAAACTTGGCAGGTTCAAGCGTCGGTGGTGGCCCAAGAGATGTTGCAATGGGTAACTCCTACGTTACTATAAAGAACCAGGGATTAGGCGGCTCATTGCTTCATTCGCACGTCCAAGTTTATCCAGAGGGCTCTAAGCAACAACAAGTCACTGCCTATGGCCACAAGGATAGCAATAACCAATGGTACTTCCAACGTCCAAGAGGTAGAGATGCATGGAACGAAACTACTGATATTATGGAGTACGTCATTGATCAAATGCCAATTAGATTGATGCACGTCTCTACTGGTCGTAACTTGCATTCGCACGAAGTTGCTGCACCAGTGAGTAAAAGCGAATACGAAGTTTCTTGTTATGGTGATGCCAACATTGGTGATCCAAAGGATAACTGGGTTATTGAAATTATGCACCAGTATGGTTCCGAGGATAAGTTGAGAGTCCACCCATTGACGACCTCGTTTAGATTGAGACACCAATTGTTGGGATGCTATTTGATGCAATCTGGTAGCTCCTATCCAGCATGGGGTTTCCATCAGAGTGAAATTGTCTGTGCCAGAAATCCGTTCGCTCGTGATAAACGTACCTGGTGGAACATTGAAGAGCACCGTAATCCTAACTTGCCAGAACCTGGTCCAGATTTCAAATTGCCAAAGACAAATTTCATTAAGGATTTTGTCCAGCTGAACTTGGCTATGATGGCCACGAACAACGCTTTGGTTCCGGATGAAGACAAAGAAGACATGTTGGCTTCACAGGCATGGCAATGGCCAACTCTTAACGTTGGTATTAGACTCTGTGGCTGGGGTGATGACACCGTAAAGTATTTCCTCCTTGGTTCCCCGGCAACTACCTGGACGTCTTCCGTTGGTGTTATCGTTTTTGCAATCTTGGTGGTGTACTACTTGTTGAGATGGCAAAGACAGCAGCGTGATTTCGAACCAAACTCTGAAAAGCTCAACACATTCCTCATGGGTGGTATCTATCCAATGTTTGGCTGGGGACTACACTTCTGTCCTTTCATCATCATGGGTAGAGTCACTTATGTCCATCATTACCTGCCGGCTTTGTACTTTGCTATGATTGTCCTTGTGTTCCTCCTCGAGCACTTTACAAGACCATTGCGTGAAGGTAAAACCACAAAGAAGACTATAATCTATTGGTCCATTTACATCGTTTGGTATATTGTTGTCATTGGAACTTTCTGGTACTTTAGACACATTTCGTTTGGTCTTGAAGGTCCATCCAGAGATTACGAGTACCTGAACTGGCTCAAGACATGGAGAATTGCCTGAGTCTTTCCCTTATCATCGAATACATAAACGAACCCACAAAAGTTTGCAAAGTTGAAGAAAAAACAATGCAAAATAAAACAAAGAGGAATGAGGAACGAAGAAAGAAGCAACAAAAGAGAGAAGTATATATTTAAAAACAGAATGAACGAGTTTTGTTGATGGAATGTTAGCATTGTAGTAGATTTTCTTTCCACATTTACGGTCTAGAGAACTGATTCGTTTGGTACAGGATTCGAACCCAAACATGTTATGGTGATGTGGTAACGAAGTGGTAATTCCCTGATCTATTTGGTAGTATCCAAACTGATCACGAAGACCCCAATCGCGTTTACAGTATCGAGGCACTACAGATCATCCCGTTTATTAGTATATAAAGGGAGTTTAGAGATGACCCTAGCTCCATATATGAAGTCGAGCTGATGGTGTATGGGCCTAGTACTATTTTCTCAAATACGTAATCATCACGTATCAAAACTCTGTATCTGAGTCAGCAATGGTGAGTTAGACATCGCCAACTCTCCATGACATCATGGCTCACGAGTTAGCCACCATTAATGTTATAAATGGTGTACAGTACTTGCAACACCAATCGATATACAACATACACTGCGGTTGGACAAATCCACATCCGAACACCAGCTTCACAATATGGTACGCGCCACATTCATCCTCATGCGGCCACCGGTTAATGCCGCGCTGGTACAGACACTCAAAAAAGGATCACAAAAAGGACGAGTTAAATTTTGTCTTTCTTGCCCACTTGACAAAACAACAACAACAACAACAACAACAACAACAACGTAGGAGAAGACGACGGAGGAAGAAGGAAGTGACATACAAATCCATTCCATTTTTGCTTTTGCTCCTTGTTTACCGCAACACAGACAGAGACAGAGAGAACTTTCCCGTTGGATACTTGTGAGGTCCTCGTGTTTGTTTACCCATCCTCTAAAAAGCTGTCTTGTTTTATTATCACCACTTTTTATATATACCTAGTTCACCCCTTAGAGTGGAAACAAGTCACCGCTGGGGCGTATTTTCCGATTTTGTTTAAAAGCGCGCGCCTTTCCAAAGCAACGAGAACGATACATCGACGTAGATTTTATCCTTGTATCTGACGAACTTTGGTCATGTTGCACAGGTCACAGGACCGTTTGTACTCCATGATTTCAACAGACCCGATGGTGATGAATGGAGGTGATGAATCGGTGCCACGGGCAGTTCCCACGGCGACACACGCTTTCGAAACATTGTCAAACTACAATGGGATGAATTTGGAGGAGATGTTGAACTTATACTGTGAGATATCTGAGCTTGTATCGATGGCTTCCAAGCAGCTCTCACAGTATCGTTATGGTGACCCTGGATATACCCAGTTGCACGCAGTCCACGCACAGATGCTAGCAAAGCGTGATAACTGTGTGCTGGGCTTGTTGAATGAGATTCGTCGTCATCCACAGAGCATTGGCATCATAACAGAGAGATGTGGTGATGGTTTCAAGGAGTCGTTTGGCTCCATTCTTCCATGTGTTGGACGCCAAGGTGCCCAAGAGAATGGGAACCTGAATGTGAATGTGGAGGTAAAAGGCAAGAACACTGTTCTACGTGAATCAGCTGGAACTGAGCCAAAGTCCAGGGCCGAAAGTACTCTTGCGGCTAAAGCTTCAAAGGAGAGAGGATCAGGTATGATGACTATCCCTGTTGAAGTTGCAACGTCAATTGCAGCGTCCAACTCGTCACCTACAAATCCTCCAACTTCCTTTACTGGAGCAGATGCTATTGAACCTTTGAAGCGAAAAGTTTCCGGTTCAGATGGTAAGCTGAAAGCCACTGTTGCTGCTGCCCCTGTTGTTATTGCCCCTGCTGTTAGTACTGTTACTGCCAATAATACTGCTGCTGCTATTACTCTCCAAAGGGAAAAGAAAGAACAGGCAAGTACCTTAAAGAGGCCAAGATCTCCAAGTGTTGAGTCGTCTGCAAAGAGAAAACCAAACCCCAAGGAGTTGAAAGCGGTGTCAGGTTATTCGCAACTGACTCCAGCACTGAATGCTTACCTTGATAAGATTCGTGTGTTGAAAGGCCACGAAGCAGTTGAGAAAGAGGCAAAGAAATTGATACAAAACTTACCTATACCAGTGGGAAAGTATCGTTTCTATTCGGATAATGAGAGAGATGACATGTTGATGTCTATCGAAGAAAAGTTGATAACCTTTGATCAGGCAAAGAGATTCGTTTCTGGCATTATCCATCAACAAGTAAAGAAAAGTCCAAAAGAGATTTCTAAAGTTGTGTCTTTGTTGATGTCAAGAGTTAACAAGGACCATTACGGCACTGATTTCGATCTTCGTACCACTATTTTGGAGAGTGTACTCGATTGCTTCCGAAATAAGAAAGAAGCCATGAGTGCAATTGGATTGGAGATGAATTCAATGAAAAGACTTGGTAATTGGATCAGATTTGATTTGAGAAATAAGACCACTACGAACAATTCACTCTATCTAAGATTCTTGTCCTCTTTGGATATGATCACCGAGCAACTCGTGCTTACTAAGTTGATGGACGTGTTGAAGACAATGATGAAGAGATGTCCGGAGTGGAAGACTAGTATTCAAAACTTGATTGTTGCATCCCAGAAGAGAGAGAAAGAGCTTAACAAGCAGCAGGGTCTGAAGGACAAAACTACAAATGAACCTTCTACTAATAGCTCCACTCCCTCTACTGTGGCTGTTGCTAACATATCGAAGCCAAGTCCTTCCGTACCAAAAACATCTTCTTCTCCAACAAATCTTGTACCTGCACCGCAAAAGAATACCCCATTGAAATTCTCCATAGTGTCATATTTGACTGGACAGCAGAAGAAGAGGATTTCACCAAGTGCTGAAACTACTGTTTCATCTTCTACTCCAATAGAAGAAGAGCAAACTAGAGATGTATCATCCACTGCTAACCCTGTTAATCTTTCCTCTTCAAATGATAACGGTTTGAGATCCATTCTCAAGAAAGCTTCCAGTACAAAACCAAGGTCCAAGACCCGTGTGACATTTAAAGATGATGATGAACTGGTACAGATCAAGGAGATACCTATGGATTTGGAGACTTCTCACAGCACACGTGGTTCATCGATGGTGAAGGATATGGAACATTCTGAAGGCCAGATATTAAAAAATATGAACGGAATTCAATGCGTCGAAAGTGACGTTGAATGGAGAACCCCTCGCCGTATCAACTTTGACGAAACTAACGATTTTGAAAGACAGACCGTCTCTGTTGTTAGAGGTGGCACCAAACCTCTGCTGTTAACTGATGATACTGATTCTGTAGCGAGACCAAATTCATATGAAAGCAGATTTTCCCCATTTGAACAAAATGAGAAACTAATCACTGCAGTGAAATACTTCAATCACAAGAATAACGCTGCTCTTGACGGCAAAGAGTCTTATTCACCAGACATTGGACAATCTGTCTCTGTTCCAGTTGCACAACACTCTGAGGATGTGGTTATGCCTCAATTGGAAAAATCAGAATCACCACCTGTAAAGAGATCAGGGACTTTAGAGAGACCTTGGAAAGTGCAGAAACAGGGACACTCCTCTTCTACTGGAATAATCAAGCCATCCAATACATCAGCTCACCAAACACAGACCTTAGAAAGAAACGAGGAAAATGAATCAGATGATGAGCTTATGTCTATCCTTGCGGATGGCGACTCTCTAGTGAATTCACACCTGCAGAGTCGTAACAATACCGATGAGGACTCCTTAGCGGATTCACACTTGAAAAGTCATGATGATACCGATGCTGTCACAAGTAATAAAACTTCTGATGCTTTGGTGAAGGACAAACCTAGCGTGAGCATTGAACATCTCGAAAAGACTACAGTTGCTCCAACCGGTGAGGCAAAGAAGGATGACTACAGAGAACGCGAAGATGAAGTGGACGATGGATATGATCCGGATGATTTGTTCAGTGCTTCAAATAGACAAAGTGCTGCGTTGGACTTAGAAAATACGATCAACAAGCATTCCTTTGTCAACACGGGAATATTCACTGCTGCACATTCTAGATCCGGTGAACTGCCACCGCCACATCCACAGTCAAGGTCACGATACCGTACTCATGAATATCGTATTGATCCACCGCGGAAATCGTTGCATTCACATCCGTGGTTCTCGTCTTCGTCTTCGTCTTCACTTTCACCTCTCGATGGTGAAGATATCGCCTATGTTGATGGTTTGGAATGTGCTGCTTATCCCCAGGGACTTACTCAAGAAGAGAGACAACGTTGTATTTCACCTGAGAAATACGAACTGAGATGCCACGATGTTCGTTCGCATGTTCGTCTAACTTCGCCCTTTGATTGCTCGAAGTACACGAGGACTTGTATCAAATATAACAACTGGTGTCCGTATGGTAGTAAGTGTTTTTTTATACACCCTAAGAGGACATGATTCCCCTATTCCTATTGCAGGTTGAATTGTATACCGTTTGAATTTGACATATAAATAATGGTGAGTAGTAATCAACTTTGCTTTGGTTTACACGTTTTTGATAATGAAGATAATCTCGTTCTAACCCAGTAGTTGTAGATTGCCATTGATAACCATGTTGGTGGAAAGATTGCGATGAAATAACTGAACCAATTTGGAGTCAACTCATCGATGACAGATTCCACCTGACTCTTTAGTGAGTCTAGAGAGCCAGAGTTATCCAATGTATGATCTGCTCTCCTGGTTCTTTCCTCCATTGATAGCTGTGAGTTGATTCTCTGATGTGCTTCTTCTTCACTTAGCTGTGGATTTCTCTCCAATAGTCTCTGTAGCTGGGTTTCCTGTGCACATCCTACTGTTATTACAAAGTTGCACAGCCTGTCCAACCCACTTTCAAATAACAAAGGCACGTCCAAAACGACCAAAGGCTTAAAGTAGTTTTGAGCCAACTTATAGAGGATTCTTCTTCTCACGGCTGGATGAGTTATCCCATTCAGCACCTTTAATTGCGATTTATCACCGAAAACAAACGACCCTAGAGCTGCTCTGTTCAACGATTTGTCATCGTCATTGATCAGATTTGGAATCAACGGGCCAAAATGGCTGATGATTTGATCGTAGGCGTATTCACCTGGTTGAACAACCTCTCGGGCAATGACGTCGGCATCAATGATCTCAACGCCATGTTTTTCCTTCAGAATGGAGGACACGGTGGACTTTCCACACGCAATTCCACCAGTGAGTCCAACTATAAACATAGCTCTTGATATAGGCGGTTTAGGAGGCGGGTTTCTGATTGGCCAAAGAGAAGCGAAGTTGAAGTAGTTTTCCGTTGCCGTGGAGGCGGACAACAAAAAGCCAAAAACCAAAACAAAAACAAAGCCAAAATGTAAACAAACCACAAAATCAAAACAAACTTCTCTGGGTGGCAAATATCAACAACGCAGCTCACAATGGCCTCTTACCCCATGGAATCGACGCTAAAAGGATGTGTGACGTCCCTTTCATCGTGCGTTTCACTCCTGAGCGAATCGCTGAGCTCTCTGGACTCACAAGTTGATGATTTCCAGAGGCTGACTACGATATTAGACCAATCAAGGATATTCACCCTGGTACCCGAGACTGACGTGTTAATGGCGAAGAAATCACTCAGTGAGGAGGTTGAGCCTCGTATAATGGCACTGATGGAGCGGTCAAAGCTGAAGCTGTCCAAACTGGAGAGGAAGAACGCCAATCTACAGAGTAAGAGACAGCTGAACGATATTCGTATAAGTAAGTTCAAATCTGAAGAGGTTTCCATCCAGGGAACACCTGAGGAACTAGAGCAGTTGAGGCAGTTGAGGCTGAAGAAAGATCGGTTGAAGTATAAGCTCTCGAGCATCAATCTTAAGCAGAGGAAACAGAGCTTCCTGATCAATTCTAAAAACTAGTATACAGATCACCATTATTGTTAGTATTCAATTCACTTCTTTTGATCCAAGGACATCATAACAAGGTCTAAGTTCTTGTACATCTTTGATATCAGGTGTTCCACTCCATTGAGCTTCGCTCCAACAGCAAGCAGCACAGGGTCTTGACAGTTTATCGACAGCTTTTCGACTTCAATGACAACCCTGTCGTGAAACGTTATAGCTCTTGTTAGATAGTCGTGTGCTGTGAACTTGTGGAACATCTGCGAGAATAGCCCATGCTTCTCGTGCTCCAACACATCGTTCAACTGGATCCGATGGTGCTTCAGATCGTCTCTTAACCTGTCGGCATGGGAATTCCCCTGAGAGTCAATCTCGTTCCAGGGTTCTTCCGTGACAGTCGTTAGCGACTTGAGTTCCAGAGTTATCTCACTGTTCAGCAGGAAGAAGTCCATCGTGAGTCTATCCTTATAGTGTTCTAAGAGGTTCCCATCGCTGTCAAACACCGTAGTGAGATCCATCTTATGCTGTGGGAACAAGACGTCAAAGTGAGGGTTGTTTATGGCAGTGTTACACTTCCCAAGACAAACCATCACTTTGTTCAGCTGCGAGAAGAACTCATCAAACTGCTCACACTCTTGTAAGATCACCACGTCCGTAAGAGCAGTATTCACAAGCTTTATCAACTCTGTCCATTGTAATAGTTGTAGGTGGCACTGAGGTTTCATCTTGAGACGGAGCTTCTTGCTAAAAGTGTTCAGCGACAGCGTAACGTCCAAATCCACAATCTCATCGCCAATCCTGGTGATCACGCCCTTTGCTTGTTCTGTTCTCGAAGAGGTCAATGCTAACTTGATTGGCTGGGTGCTTGAAGTGATCATCTCAAGACATCGTGTCAAGGTCTCTATCACTTGAGGCAATTCAGGCTTTATCACCGAGTCAACAAGCCACGTTTGATCGCTCGCAGCATTCAGAAGTTCCAATTCCACATATTTCTCTGGTGGTATAGCTGGATAGAGAGAAGCAGACATCTCTTATCGTATACGTTCCGGTATGGTGGTGTGATTTGTACGAGCCTTCGAGTCTGGACGTATTTGCTTTTCACGAAATTACACTCTACCCCGGGGTTCAATATTGGAAGCAATAGGCACCAACATTGAGGCACGAAGCACGGAGGAAGAAGAGGCTAAGAACCAAGCAGAATGCTCTCACCATTTAGATCGCAACGTCGAGGACTTATCCTTCCATCTTTGGCGTTTTTGTCACAGTCGAAATGGTTCAAGACCATCAGAGAGGTTGATCAGTTCCAAGATCCTACTTATGACCCAGAAACGTCGGCTTCTGAGCAGACAACCACTAAGGTGACGTTTCCAGAGAGGACTCCTGATGGTAGAATTCTCATCTCAGACAGTGAAAGGTCACTGATGTTTATAATCTCTGGAATTCAAGCTCTGTTGCACCATGAGAATGGTGCAAACATCAACAACTTTGGAGAGGTTTCTGCCTTTGAATGTGTTTTGAGGTCTCTGAGGGATCAGATGCTTTCCACCAGAGAAGGCCGTCGTATACTACGTGAAAGACCCCAGCTGACGTCGAAGGAACTGGATGTCAATTGGTTGAAATCGCTTCCTCCAAATACTTTGGGCGCACAATACGCCAAATTCACTGCTGATAATGACGACAGAGCTCCTGTTAGATTTATCCAGGACGAGGAGCTGAGCTACGTTTTCTTGAGATATCGTCAAATGCATGACATTGTTCATATCCTGACGGGTTGTAAAGTTGACCTTGCTGGAGAGCTGCCGGTTAAGGCGTTCGAATTTGGCAATACAGGGTTACCAATGACAGGGCTGGCGTGCTTTGCGTACTTCAAACTGAGCTCTAAGAGAAAGGCCAAGGTCAATATGATTGACAGCTTCTTAAATGGACTAAGTGCCACTTCTTTGATAACTGTACCTTGGGAAAGAGTCATGGATAAAGACGTTGATGAGTTGAGGGCTCAGTACGGAATTCATCAATGAAACGATCGTCTTTTTAGGTCAGTCGATCTCGCTGAATGTGAAGATATGTATTTATGTGACTTTCTAACAAGGTGATGTGACTACTTCACCGTAGTAGCAACCATGATTAGATGCCATTTTGTAGAGCTTAAGAAGAAAACCACGTGATATAACCCTATCTTACACGTGACTGACTATATAATCATACACCCGGACATCACTTTTTGATTGCCCATACTTTCAATTAATACTTATTTCCACTTCCTGTCCTCCACATTCCTTTCTTATTCTCTTCATTCCACCGAATTCGACTCTTTGTCCGTTTATACCTTACTCTACAACCAGAAGAATGGCCAGATTTCAGTTCGTTAGACATCTTCACAGAACTGCGCCTTTGAGCAGAACGTGGACTGAGTTCTACTTAAGACAATCCCGTTCCATATTGAAAGGTATAGCCATCTTCTACGCCGGGGCCGCTGCTTGTGGTACTGTGGGATACTTTGGTGGTAAGTGGTACGTTGATCAGTGGCAGCCGATGTGCTCTTCGTGGTCTCTTTATTCCAAATGCTTGGGAAGATTGGGTGTTTATCTTCAAGAGACTGGCGATGACGCCAATGCGGAGATGAGTATTATCTACTGCTTGAAGGCCATTGGCCAGGATGAAGGCATCGAACAGCCAGAAGATGAAAGTAATCCAAGGCTGTTCAAGCTATTGACGGCTGATCAGCTGAATGATCATAAATCTGATGAGTTCAAGTCGAGATATTTGGACTTGGTTATGAGATTAGCCCTCATAAAAGGTGAAAATGGTGATTTTGAGAACAGCTGGAAGCTCTGCCAGTACTCAATAAATTTACCAATGGACAAAGGCTCCAGACATTTGAAGTCTCAGATGCTTCGCCTGGCCTCGAAACTGGACCTGCAAAAGGGTGAGGTCCAACCAGCCGAGTTTTATCTTTTGGATGCGGTTAGGTTCAACGAATACTATGAAGATGGTGTTAGATTTGTTCAGCATGGATCTTTAACGCTTTCGAAGGACTCCAATGTGCCAAATGAGCTGTTCCATTCGTTATTGGACCTTGGTGTTGTGTATACAAAGGAGAAGCAGTACACTAAGGCTCTGGAGATCTTTTTAAATCTGTTACAAGTGACAGAACACGACAAACCAGAGGGCTTTGTTGAGGCCAATAGATCTCTGCTGAAGAACTACGTTGGAGAGATATTGTATTCTCAAGGCTTAACCAATCAGGCGATCGAATGGTGTCGTGACTCTTTCAAAGAGGCAAGAATTAACAGCAAGTTTGACCCATTTAGTGCAACAATCACGAAGCAATCTCTACAAAACCTGGTTAAGCTATACGAGAAGATTGGTGATGATGACTTGAAGAACCAAGCTCAACAAGAGTTGGATAAATGTGTCATCCCAGTAAAGGTCAACAGAGACTGGGCTTTATTGGAGAAGATGCTCAGCTGATGAACCTCCTGTCCATATTATTTATTCTGATCAACGACTGTTGTAATTACACATGAAATACTTTATTAACAAAATACAAAACACCAAACAAGTAAAACGACTGTATATAAATCAACCAGACCTCTCCTTTTCGTCATTATAATTTAAACCCCATGACTAAAATATATCATATAACCCAACAGCAATAAAATTATTAGCCTTTTATTTTTCTCTCTTTCTTTCTTCCCTCTTCTCAAATGTGGCACCTCGAGGGTTCTCAGTATCTGTTAGAACCCAAGAACCAACCGGTGCTGGATTCCTCTTCATAATCGTCATCGTTGTCGTATAATGATAACGTGTTCAAATTGTTACGGTTCTTCTTCCCGTACAGATCAACCTTGAACTTCGGTACACTATCGTTTGGTATGTTCATCTTCAAATGTGAGTCTTTCTTCCCACTGAAATTCATAACCCAGTCAGATGTTGATGGTGATTTCATATCTGGTTTGGATAGTTCTGTCGATTTATGCTCCTTTAAGCTTTTTTCAATCAATTCCTTATCAAACAAATTGTTATTATCTGAATCCTGGATCAAGGTCGCAGTTGAACCGTTATTCATGGTTTCAATACCATCACCCTTTAATTCCAAAGAATCAGCTTTGAGATTGTTCAAGCCATCATCTTTCATAACCAAACTGTTTGCACTGGAATTATTTGAGGAGAAGAACTCCTCCAAATCGGGAACTGTGGTCCCACTGTCTGTATATTTTCCATCATCAATGTCAATGTTCGACCAACTATACTTATGTTCATTTCTATGTGATTGTTGCATCATTGATGCTAGATTATTGGAAGAGGCAACTGGTGTAATGGCGACAGTTCTTCTCGGCCTATCCAGTTGCTCCTTCTCTTCCTTCAACAATCTCTTTGTTCTTTCAAATGAGTTCTTCTTGGAATAAACAGAAGATACCTGCGTATTCTGTTGTCTGAGTTGGTCAGCAGGGTTTTTGTCGCCGAATAAAGAGCTCGATCTAAATCTTCTATGTCTGTGTATATCCATAAAGTCCGGAGACATGGATCTTCTTCCAACGCTAAAGCTCAACCCTTCATCGTCAGTATCCGAATCACTATCGCTGTCAGTTTTCACCTTTGGGTTCAGCAACGATTGTGATCTTAACCTGTTGAAGTTCCCCGTTTTGGACGCAGGCACAACCATCGAACTCTTAAAGTCCAGCTGTTTCTGGTGGTTAAAAGTCGTCTGGACATCTTGGAATGGATCCCTATGAGAATACAAATCAACAGGTTTGAAATCTCTAGATCCACGGAATGGGATATCGGTCTCAACCAGTCTCCAATAGAAGAGCGATCCCTTCATCTCCACAGGTCTAGCCAGCGTAGCAGACCCCAACGGGATCTCCACGAATAACGATTTCCCCATCAGTTTGGAAACAAGAGACCGTACACAGGCGCCATGTGTCATCAAGATCAAGATCTCGTTGTCGTTTTGGCCATCCTGCTGATCCCTGACACAGCTTTTAACCATGGACGCCAGTCCATGGCTCAACCTCGAGTACTGGTGTATAAAGCTTTCGCTGAACGCACCAGGGTTCCCGTGCTTATAAGGATCAGTCAGGTCCAGCCTCAAGCTGACCATCGAGTTGGCATTGAAGGGCAGGTTCGAGTGCAAATACTGGATCGCAGTGTTCATCAACGTCTCGCCGTTATCGTTCGGCGGGAAATGGTTGATGTCGAGATCCGTGTTCAGCCATTCGCTCAGAACGTGATCCACAGACACCGTACACTCCACCGGCCACCTGATCTCCTGCTTCACGAGGAAATCAAGCATGTACTTCACAGTCTCGAGGCATCTCACGTAGGGAGAGGTGTGCAGGCGCAGCCTGACACACCCGCCGTTGTCGCACCGCACGTGATCGTTCAGGTAGTTGAACAGCTTCGCCCCGAGCACGTTGGACTGGCTCACCCCGTTGTTGCTCTTCCCACGCGTGCTCGCAAACGTCGCCAGCCCAGGGTTGTACACGTCGAACCCATCACAGAACTCACCGCCAATACCCCCTCCACCATCATCACCACCACCGCCATAGTTATACCCAATCTCTATCGAAGACACCGTGGACGCCACCTTATCTGCCCTCTGCGCGTGTCTCAGCACAAACAGCGAGTGCAGCGGCATTAGGATTCTCTCTCTCTCTGCTTCTGTTAGCCGCTGAGGAGAAGTAAACAATCGCAGGGTTCAAAAATCTGTTGATGTTTTGATTCGTTTAGAGGAGCAGAGCGAAGAGAGAAAAAGAAAAGGGCAAAAAATGTAGGAAGCGCTGGGAGAGTGAGGACACAAAAACAAATAAACAGATGGAAATGGCCTGATTGGGGAAATTGCCTAGTTAGGCGAGCGGATGACGTAATGGCGGGATTATCTGGAAATGTGCGGGTGTGCTGGTGTGCTGGTGTGCGGGTGTTACATGCCACATGTTTACCTACTGCGATGGGATGGGAGAGGGATATGAACATTAGCCTAGTAGTATTTAACAGGGAGGAAGGGGCGGCAGAGGCGGCAGAGGCGGCGGCAGACATCAGTTGTGCTTCACTTCAACGCTAGGCTCGCGCACACACACAGGGTCTGCTCCGCTAGCAATGTTGCACTGGTGCATCAATCTTCTCTCGCCCTCGGCGAACTGTCCTGTCACTGCGTGCCAGACACCTCTGTTGTGGAAGATCACCAAGTCGCCCTCGTCCCAGCTGTGCGCGTAGACGTTCTCTGGGGCGATTGCCGGTCTCATGAGTCTGTAGACCTCCTCCCTGGCCTTCTCCAAGGGGACAACCTCGCCGTTGGATCTCTCCAACGCCCAGATACAACAGCCGTGCACTTGAAGGTGGTGGTTGCCGGTAACAGGGTTGGTCCAAACCAATGGTAGTCGCTTAACCTTGGACTCCTCCCACTCAGGGAGCTCATCGAGGGCCATCTCCTTGCCCTCGGACACCATGGTCAATCCGTCGCTGGTGGCTTTTGCTGGGGAGATGAAGATGTATGGGTGTGGCGCATAGACGACGGTGGTGTTCAGTGCAAGCTCCTTGTCCTCCTCACTCAACTGGTCAAAGGCCATCTTACCACTGACAAAAGCCGTGGCACCTTGCGTCACCTCCTTCTCCTCCTTGGTGTCCTCATAAACCACTTTCAAGGTTCTCTCATGAGGTGGGACGTGGATTCCCAAGAGCGTCGTGGCAACAGGCGGAGACAACCCGTAAAGAGCAGAATCGATGTGCCATCTGTAGTATCTGGTCTGCCCTTCGGCAACCTCTTCATTGCTAAGCAATGACTTATGGAAAGTGAAGTGTGTTGGGTGTGTCAACTCAATCTCTCCTAATCCGTGATGACCGGCTTCCCATTTGCCTTGGCCCAACACTTGTACTTGTGGCTGACCTGGAATGGAAGTACCATCTTTAGCCAACACAGACTTGGCATGTCTAAACTCCTTGCCGTGACCATACGACTTGCCGTTGATATCAGTGGTTGGGTCCAAACGGGCCGTGAGTAGCCATTGCGAACGAGGCGCCAAATCTTTCTGGTTTGGAATAACAAGAACTGAGTATTCATGAAGCGCATCGTGAAGCTTCTTGAAGTCCTCATCGTTGAGCTCAGAAGGATCAGTTATGTCCTTTGGCAATTCGATAGTGGCACCGAATGGAGCGTCTTTAAGTGGGTGGACTGTGAGCATTGTGTCTTGTTCTATTGAAGGGTCTGTGTGATCTATGGTGTGCCATGTTGGAACAGCTTCAATTGGAAGGATCCAGGAGCCATTTTAAATAGTTTCAGATCAACAAAAGGCGTAAACAACCACAATGACACAAGTACAGTTGCTACGGTACCGTTGGGGGAGGTTCCGACGGGGATGCCGACGGATGCAATAGACCGGCGGCATTGCCGCCGGTTCGACAAAGCAACGGAATTGGCCAGTGGAGGTGTTGTGTGGGTTCTCGATGTTTGCAGAACCAGGGCGTAATGGCAAGTTTCCTACTCACCAAAATGGCGTGATAACTGTTGCTATATGGTTCCAATTCTACTGTTTGTTTTCAGATGTATTTTATAGGGTCTATTGTTGTGGTTGATCACCAATAAGCAACGTCGACTTTGGCTGTTTAACGATTGGCATTAAAGTGAAGGGGTGGCCTAGTGAGGGATAGAAACCACCATCTAAGCGAATACTGAGTATCGTGTGTTGGAAGAAGGTGTATGCGAACCATTTTAACACCTCAAGAGTGCCTATAACTTCCCTCATTGGTGTGTTATTCTTCCCCAGATATAAGCGAATGTAGCTCTAATCTCCGTACAACGGGATAGCAACATCTATAGACAGAACCAACCTAGTTGTTCCATTCAGTTCACCAATAATACACATGGATAAAGAGATTTCATCGTGATCAGATCTGGCTCAATACAACGACACACTCAGCATCATGAATATAGCCAATAATACAGCCAATAGTCCATACAGAGCTGAAGAATCATAGAGGTTCTACATGAGGTGTCCGGATGAAACATGACACAAACTCCCGGCATGTTCTCTGGCTGTCCCATTCATCTGAGAATAAAACATATCAACAGTGATATAAAATTTTTCGTACAGAAGAAAGCCATATTACCATAGCTAGGATATCTGGGTACCTGTCCCACTAATGTTCGTCCAAGTGGTGTGGATTGATGGTAACGATATCACCATGCGAACAGTACAGCGATCTGGACTGTAAGTATCGGGCTACACTCACGTCCAGGTCGAGTTCGATACAACTACAATCTCAAAGGAAAGGTCACGTGGTATCTGAAGAGCTGAAATGCTAGTGCTTCACAGGCACCATTGACAGCATAGCCGGAGCTCTTCAGAAATCGGGAAACTGACCAATCAGATGGCTCCTGCCTACCATATTACATAGGCATAAAGTACACGATTACATAAGCGAAAAGCACATGATTACATAAGCAGACTAGTCCCAGTATAAGCAACGGGCTCTTGCTGCTTTCCACTTCTCACCAAACCTCTCAAACAACCAAATCCACAATCGGAAGGCCTGTATGATCATTCTAGAAGATAACGATTCTTCGGTAGAGGTGATACACTCATCTTTGCAGACTCCAGAGAAGAAGTACCCCAGAGACGAGTGTGCAATTCTATACAAACTAATATTAGATACTTCACCCTTGGAGAAGTTAATAGAGTCTAGCGTTGAACATCATCTGGATAAACAGGACATCCCCGTGGATATAGACTACGAGCTCATAATTGAGAACCAACGTGGTCTTACGCTGTTCGGGTTCCCGTTGTTTGCTCCAAAGTTCTTCCCATGGGATCCTCCACAGTATGTAACTCCTAAGAACGTCCAAGTCCATGGACTGGTGCTATACCCTTTACCAACTGAACAGTGGCACTGGATATGGGATAAGTGGCATGTGACAATGCTTGGAGATGTGGACGACCAAGGGTGGAAGTATGCTTGGAATTTCAACAGTAAGGCATGGAGAGGTCGAACGTTCTTAGGATGCGTAAGGAGAAGAGTATGGATGAGACTACGGGAAAGACCCTCTCTCTAGAATATATCACGCAATTAATTGATAATAGCTACTAATGGCAACGAATAAAGGAATTTGCATATACAATTGCTCAAACAAATAGGTCAAGTGGTTTAAAAAAAGCGTGTAAAAAGAAGAATAAGAAAAGACATGATACAAAGAGCCAATCAATGAAACAGGATAGCCTATCAGGTCAGACTCAGCGTGCTGTAATCCAAGTTATGGTTGATCAAAGCTTCAACAGTCCAAGAGAAGGCATCAAACATCTTGTAGTTACCGATTTCAAACCCTGAGCCCTGCTTGAACTGGCTACTGTTACCTGATCTTTGGAACCATTTGGATTTTGAAAGGTTCGGTCTCCATTGTCTCTTTATAAGCTCAAGTTCTGCCAAGTTCGACTCAAATGGTGTTATGCTGAAGTAGAAAGCATAGAATAACGTGCTAGTCTCTAAACCACCCATTATCGAGCCCAAGTTCTCATGTTTGAGTAAGATCTGACGGCGTACTAACAGCCAGACGTTTGCAGATCTGTTGTACTCCACTGAAGCATCCTGGTTTGGTGGAACTTGAGTGATCAGATAATCACGAGGTATTGTTAATAGACTTGAACTTGAATAGAGAACGTTGTCGACCAAATTTCTAGTCGAGTAAAAGGATCCAATGATGTCCTGAATTCCCGGTGGTAGATGCATTAACGTAGCATCTGCCTTATATAAGGAATCATCAATCACCTTTGGCACTCGTCTTTCCTGCTGTTGTTGTTGTTGTTGTTGTTGTTGTTGTTGTTGTTGTTGTTGTTGCTGCTGCTGCTGTTGCTGCTGTTGCTGTTGTACAACTTGTGGTTCTAGTACAGATTGAACAGAGTGAACAGGTTCCACAGATTTATCAGTTTCCACTTTAACATGAGAAACAACAGGTGAGCCTCCCAACTTCTTCGCATCGTCTTCTTTCATATGTGCAACCAATGATGACCATTTCAGCTCCTGTTTTGGCACAGCTGCTGGTTTTAACGTGTTCAACAGAGGATTTGAGAACGTACTCTGCACCGTTGGAGAGGGTAAAGAGCTTTGAGCCTGTAACATTTTCTTGATCTTTGGTGTACCATTTGACGTTAAGCTACTACTGCTGTTATTGCTATTCGTCGAGGCACTTGGTATCGTCGGCTGACTTGCTGTTGAATTGCTTGTAGACAAGGACGGCAGTGACTTCTTCTCGGGGCTCTTCTCCTTCAATTGTGGTGCAGGTGGAGTCTTTTCCTTTTCATGATCAACGACACCGTTAAAGCTCGTTACAACTTCATGTTGTAACACCTCATTAGATTCCAAATCCAAGGATTCATAGAGGTACTCATTCTCAACGAAATCGTCACTTCTGTTATTTTGAACAAAGTATTCAACTTCCTCCTTAATGTCCTGAATATCGCTCACTTGTAGCTCACCATTCTCCAGCAGTCTCAGAGCCAACTCCAGCTGCTGCTGATGCCATCTGTATCGCTGCTGGAGCTCCTTCAGCTCCTCCTTCTGCGCATTGTTATTACTCTTCTTGGACTTCTTACCACTGAGCTTTTCAATCTCAACGTCAACGGTTTCGTATTGATGTTCCAACTCATCTATCGAATCCTGTAGGAATTGAATCGTATCAACCTTCTCCTGCTCCTCAGGGTCCAGCTCACCAGCAGCTTTCAGACTCATATTCGAGTAAGCTTTCACCTTTGAGCCCTTCTCAACAACTTTGTACTTCTCCATGGCCACTTCAACAGCCCTTCGGTACTCCAGCAGCTTCTCCTTGTCTTTCACTTCGCTCTGAGCTTGCCATACCTTTATCTGTTCTCTAAGCTTTTGTAACTTCTTCACTTCTCGTTTCAGATCATTCTCCAGCTTCTCCTTGACAGATGCGTTAGGTGCATTCTCATGACGTTCATGGTAAGTGTTGAATATGTCCAGACCTTCGTTGATCTTCTTGAACACCTTGTCAATCTCTTGTTGTAGCTTACGATGCGCCATTATGTAACTCTCTCGCACTCTCTCTCTGTGTGTCGTATCTTATATTATCACCATTAAATGAACAGTTGTTGTGGGTAATAGCAGATTCAGGTATATGATGTAATCGTCGACGATGTGATGCTTCTCGGGTACTTTTGAGGTGATGAGGAAGCGGAAAACAAATTATAGGTCGTATCTCTCAGTTTGGACCAATGGAACCTTTCAATTGAACACTGCTATAGCAACTTTCAACTCCTTATGGGGATCACCGGAATCAATTAACGAAAGAGAAGGATTAACAGAAAAGAGTCAAAAAAAAGCTTCGAGAGAGTATTAATTCCCATCAACGAAAAATTTTGACCGAGTTCCGCCAATAATTGCGCAACTTCCTAATTAGGGAAGTGCGTGAAATGTATTCTTCTGAAACGGGAAAATACAACAGGAAAACGAAAGAAGTAAGAGCGACTTTCCTAAAGGAGACAAACTATGTGTTTCTTCTCTATTGTTTTTGCGCAATTCCATATCAATCTATACAATGAAGGAATAAACCACTCCAAAGACAACAATTGCCAGTGAAATGGATCCGAATACTATGAGAACGAGCTGGAATGTATTGGTGACCACGTTTTTGAACCTCAGGGTGATTGATTCGTGTGTAGATTGGGTGTCTTCCACGACGACATTTAGATCCATAGTAGTATCGTCAACGCTCCATGAGGGTAAGGACTCTGAATGAATAGATATATTGGACCAGGCTATAGGTTGTAATCCTAATATCTGGATATTGTACTCTTCAAATAGGCTGCTCAGCCCCGACTCTAAGTCGTTACCCAATTCGTTAACGAAGCCATAGCAGGATTCAATCGATGACATCGACAGTGGTTCATATTCGATACCTGGGATGGTGATTTCGTATTCGTATTGAACTAGGCTTGGGTATGATGACATGCTGGTGTTCTTTGTGTTGCTCACTGTAAGTAGCAAGATGCAGATCCAGACTATAGTGAAAAGCATGAATGGTAAATTCATGAGAATATACTCTTCAATCCAGTATAATTTGAACCAATCACAATGGATGAATTGCACTGTCAAATCTGTCGTTATTGTAATGAACGGATCCTTCAATTTATAGATCGAGATAAAGAAGTCCCAATTGGACTTCTTATCGCATATCTCCATTAGTTCATCGGTTCTGGATCTTGAGGAGTATTGAAAATGCTTATGGTGGAACAACAAAAGCATGAAATATATAACCACCACACAAACTCCAAGTACGATAAGTGTGGTGTTCAAAGACGACATGTTGTCTCCATCATCATTATTCTCGGTTGAAGCAGTCACGTTGTGGAAATTAACGTCAATTTCATCCATGGTTATATCACCATCATAATTATCGTTCGAAGCATTTGAAGCATTTGAAGCATTTGAAGCATTCACAGAATACGCTTCAAAGGCGTTCAACGAGTTCTCAAATAGGGATTCTATGCTATCAAATAGATCTTCCCGTGATTGATACAATTGTTGTAATTCATCGTCACGATCAGCCTGAAGTTTACTCAAGATTTCTGAAAAGCTCTGTTGAATCCCATCCACATTCAAATCAACAGATTCAATGTCGATAGTATTCCCCACTGTTAAAGTTGTGGTTAGGGAATCTTCGATATTTTGTAACTGCGAAGAAGCATTGTTTAATTCATTGATGACCTGGTTGTTTAATGATTGTACCAGATCTTTAATCATATCAACATAATCCATCTGCTTCGTCTCTGAATCCATCGCTAATGACAAGGAGACGTTTATCGAGCGTGTAGTATAGCTATGCCACTCTTCAAAATATGACGTTATTGAACTTCTTTGTGATTGAATCCAAGATTCATATATTGTAAGCTCATCATCCCGGGCTCTTTGTACCAGTCCATTCCAGTCAAAAGGGTCATCATTGTTAAAAGTCACTGAGGTGTTGGTATAACTTCTAGGATCATCGAGGATTTGAAGCGAGTCTCTATACAATACAATGACAAAAAGTAGAATAACGGAGACAATGATATACGGTGATGCAATTGCCTGAACAAGGGTGGATCTCAATGAATTGTGGAAATGTTGCGATGATTTGTACGTCATGAGGCCATGGCTGTAGTTCAACCCTCAAGTCATGAGAAAGAACACATGTCCTACACTTCCGGCTATATATACCAAGCACACCAATACCACACTATTCAGCAATGGAACCATACTACCGGTGTATCGTACGAAGCTGTTTGGTAAAGCACAAGCTGTTGTTTAGCTTTTGTATCACTGGCATAGTTGTTTCATGTGCGTCTCAAATAAGGCACATCTTACCAAACCATTATTGTACGCCACACGTTTACACCAGGGGCTGTAAATATGTAACAGTGGCCATAAGTAGTGGCAAGAAGAACAGTAGCAGATCATCAATACAACAATAAGTATTGTTTCAGTGATTATAGTCCGATGATACTGAAGGGTGAGAGAGTTCCAGTCACGTGATATATGACCAAGTATCACGTGATGGATAGCAACACACCCCTTAACCAGTGAGTACCCACCTGTCAGTAGCGGCCACTACCTGGAAACAGATCAAAGAAACGAGTAGCAATGCTACCTAACTATTCAATGTTTGAGCGTAATGGCACTCATATCAAACAATCTCAACAATGCCTGTGCTGATGATTCTGAGCCATTACCTCAGGGCCAATGCCTTAGCTAGACATTGATGATGTAGCTGTTTTAATGTCCAGCTGATCAAACCAATTCTGCCCCGTTTTGAGTTACTCTTCTATAACTTGTATAACTTAGTATGATGAATCTTTGGAGCAGCTCTTAAAGACTTAAAGCATCAAGTGGTGTGTGGGTCCCGAACCACCCGGGAGAACAAACTCATCGTGAATAGAGAGAATCTCCATTTTTAAACAACCCACAGAAGTATATCACCTGTACCCCCGGTGCTGTCATCACTGATCAACCATTCAACGTAGATTCTTCGTCTAAACTTACCCATGTCGGGCTTCTCCTCATGTACACTTTAGGGCCATCATGCATTGTCGGTGATTCGATCGAACAAAGATGTAACAGCTGTAACGAAGTGGAGACAGCTTAGTTTCAGAGCAGTGGTTGGTTTTCCCACATGGTTGCTTCCGCACTTGTTCTTCTTAACCGTTGACGCATCAGCGTATACACCAGTTCTTGTTTGCTATGCGCATATCACATGATTTAGCACAATGAAGTTTCGCTATTCGCCGTGGCTTACGGAGTTCTAAACTTCCTCCCGGTCCCACTTTGAACGTCCCGTAACAACTCAATGTTGCGATGTGTCCCGTGTGTTCTTCTTTGCATGAGTATGACCCGATCGCACTATTTCCCACAGGTGAGTGGAAACAGCTTGCCCATGTTCTTCCAATGCCGCAAAGCACACACAACAACACACCAAGTTCATCTCAATGTGAACCAAAAAAACAAACACAGCCCATCCAATGTATCCCAAGCAGCAGTGGCCAAATGGCCTAACCGAACTAAGCAAACGTGGTTAAAACACCATGGCTATGTAGGCACAGTTTTGGGTCCAGGCTTTGCTTTCGAATAGTCGACACAAGCGCACGACCCTGCAGTTCTCACGTCAGGAAATCCAGGCAGGAAGTTGTAGGCCGGCAAAAAGTTTTTCGTTCCATGGCTGGGCAGGATTGAAAAAAAAGAAGGGAGACAAAGGCAGTAAGAACTCGGTATCAACAACACTATTGTTAATACTCCCCTCCCCCACAAGGAAAGAGAGAGAGAGAAAAAAGTGGTAAAGAAGAGCAGGAGGAAGGGAATAGCAGGAGGAAGGGAAGAGCCACCAGGAACAACGTCAAGTAACACGATCAAAGGCAGTAGTATCATTATAGGAAGAAGATAGCCACCATTTTGAAGATGAACATGCAAACTGGGAAACAAGAGCAGGCCTATGTTGATTCTGAAGGCGCAGTTCTCGGAACCACTGGAGGGCCCAACCATGCTTACTTTAACGATATGCTTTCACCTTATTTTGCTCCGTATGGCATTGATGTCTCACATTTCCCCTTGACGAACCCACCGATCTTTGAGAGTGCCATGATGATGAACGGGCAAGGCCAACCACGCCGTCGTATCTCCATATCGAATGGGCAAATTGGTCAGATTATCGATCACGCTGATGATGGCTTTAGCGATTCCACTGTAAAGTCTCAGGATGACGTTGGCTTTGAAAGCAATACCCTGGCGGTGGAGCAGCAAAGTAGGGTCCCATCACAGATGCAAGTGCTTCAAGGTGGCCAGGCTCAGGTTGTACCATCTGTACGCTTGCCTTTACAGCAGCAGATTCCTCAGCAGGTGCTTTTGCAACAGCAGCAGCAACGGCTCCCCGTCCAACAACAAGTGATACCTCAAGGACAGTCACTCCCAGTTTCACCGCTAACACAGTCTACACGCTCACAACCCCAGGTTGTGCAACAAATCCGCCAGCAAACACAGACCCCAGCGCAAGCACAGCACTCCCAACAACATTCCCAACAGCAGCAGCCCCAGCAGCAGCTTCCTATCACAACTAACGCTGAGGGGGTCCCTATGACAAAGCTGATGTACAACAACGAGGTGATATTCAATCCGGAGGATGGCCCAATCCCCGGCACTGCCGCTTGGAAGAAGGCAAGGCTACTGGAACGTAACAGAATAGCAGCATCCAAATGTCGACAGAGAAAGAAAGCTGCGCAGAACCAACTAAAGGAGAACGTTGAGAAGTATGCCAAGGAGCTGGAAGATTTAACCAATGAAAACGAGGATCTCCGTGCGAAATTGGCTGCTATTCGTGAACTGGCAGAAAGAGAAGGCCTTTCGAACATTTTGGATTTGTGTTGATGGAAGCCATTTTGTGTAATTTGTTGATGTAAACAAACAAAATGTAAACAAACCTTCCAACATCAACAACAAAGCGAACAGAACGTTGACTACAACAACGGAAACACAGATTTCTCAAGGGCGCTTAAGTGTTAAAAGGACCAGTGAGACAAAAGAGGGTGGTAAGGTGTATAAAGATGGATGATTTAGTTCTTGTGAGTGGTATTTTGCCTTGCGGTGTTATTTATGTTATTTGCTTCCTGTATCGTCTCATTCTCTGTGACTTGTTTGTCCGTAGTTACTAACGGCGTGTATAGGCGATTGCACTTATCAAGTTGAAGAACTCGATGAAGTTACGTTCGGTCAGCGAGTTGTTTCAAAAACGGTCCCTTGATGCCATTCTTGGAGCCCTTGAAGGCGGTGATGAAGGCGTATCAGGCACTGACATTTGCTTTGCAAAAGTTCACCAGCAAGTTGAGTCGTTGACATCCCAAGAGAAGGAGGCATGGTGTTTTGTTCTTACGATGAAGGGCCTTCCAATCCTGTTGGTCGAAGAGCTCTTCCACAATGATGTTGAGCTCTTCACCAAGGTCGTCTCAAGTGTATTGAACACCTTCATCGTCGCCCATGAACTGCCAACTTCACGGGGAAACAATGCCTTCTTGACCCTCTACAGAGCAAACCAGCACCGCTTCGCACAGATTGGCAATCATGAGAACAACTACAACATGTGCAAAGAGCTGTCTTCATTGGATAGGATCCTTCAGTTGACCCATAAGAGTACACTCTTCATAAAAAGTTGTCTTATTATTGTACATACGCTTCGTTGCTAAGAGTAAGGATGGTGAGCTCCCGGCCATAGTCTGTATACAATAGCTATATCCAGTTTGGTGTTTTGGCTCAGTTCTTTTGCTTGTCGTTTCTAACCATGTCGAAATAGCTATGGTCCAAAGCCTCTCTCGCAGTGAGACGATCCTTATGGTCATATCTCAGCACTTTGTCGATGATATCCACAGCATCCCTTTGCGACGCGAGTTCCATGTTTTCTTCGTTGATGAAACGACTCCATGGACGCCTCGTGTACTGTCCCAAATCTTCGTATTCTGGTCCAAGTTGAATCTTATACTTATCCAGGTATGCAAATAGCTCATCTGTACCTAGTACACGCACTATCTGGACGAGCTGATCCGTATTGGACTTTCCATGGAAGAAAGGCTCCCTCTTGAAGATGATACTTGCCAACGTTGCACCAAAAGACCAGAGGTCCAAGGAATAGTCATAGTACTTATAGTTAACGAGCAATTCGGGACCTTTGAAGTACCTCGAGGCAACACGCACGTTATAATCGACACCAGGGTGGTAAAACTCCGCCAGACCCCAGTCGATGAGTCTCAACTTACGCTTTTCATGGTCAATCATGATGTTGTGCGGTTTAACATCACGGTGCATTATACCGACAGAATGGCAGAAATCCAACGCAACAAGCAAATCGTACATGTAATATCTGATGTCATAGTCCGTGAGCTTTGGATACAGCGTTCTGAAATCGGTATTGTTGACGTACTCAAACACCAACGCCGGTGTCTTTGAGATCGGCTCACGTACAATCGCCAACAGCTCAATGATGTTGGGACCCCCACTCAAGTTCTCAAGTATCTTGATCTCTCTTTTGATCTTCTTACGCTTAACAGGCTTCAGCACCTTGATGACAACAGTCTCCTTCCGGTCAATCGAAACACCTTCAAATACTTCGCTATATTTACCACGGCCCACTTTCTTCACAATTTCATACCCATCTTGTGATTCCCAACGAATCGCAGTCCCTTCATAGTCCCACCATTCGTTCCCTTTTAGCTCATTGGCATTGGCATATACCCTTGAAACGTGCAACCCATCATTATCACGCTCGCTCATGACGAATTCGCTTGTGTGGCTTCCTCTTCTGGCGCTTTATAAGTTGATGAAACGAACTACGTCCACCCTTTTCGGGCCTTCTGATGAACGTCTCGCAACTGTTTTTTTCTTATTTCCCTTTGTGGACGGGCGCGGGGAGCCGACAATGAACTTTTTGAGGTGTCTGGATGTTATCCAAAGATCACGTGCAGCGACACGTGATATGATTACATAATGTAACATCCGGACACCTCAGAATATACATCATCGGGTTTTACATATGGAGATGTAGCTCAACATTGAAATTGCTACCTGGGGAAAGCTCATCTCTGTCTGTTTCGTATTTGGTTGGGTGGAGTGATAGGATGCCACAGCTTCAGTCTATCGATCCTGGGCCTGATACAATCCGCGTTCTGATAACGACGGATAACCATGTTGGATATAGCGAATCAGATCCAGTTAGAGGCGATGATGCCTGGAAGACATTCGAAGAGATCATGACTATTGCGAGGGACGAAGACGTTGACTTCGTTCTTCAGTGTGGTGATCTGTTTCATGTGAATAAGCCCTCGAAGAAGTCCATGTACCATGTGATGAGAACACTCAGGAGAACGTGTTTTGGTGATAGACCTTGTGAGTTGGAGATGCTGAGCGACCCTTCAACGGTGTTTGACGATGGTATCAATAGTGTCAATTATGAGGATCCCAATCTGAACATCAGTCTCCCTGTATTTGCTATATCGGGTAATCATGATGATGCCTCCGGATCTGGTCTATTATCTCCCCTGGATCTTCTGAACGTGTCTGGACTGGTTAACCACTTCGGCAGAGTGATACAAAATGATCACATTGACGTTACACCTATTCTGTTGCAAAAGGGAGATACTAAATTGGCTCTCTATGGACTGGCATCTGTTAGGGATGAAAGGCTCTTCAAGTCTTTCCAAGAAAAGAAAGTAAAGTTTAGAAGGCCAAACGTCTTAGTTGATGAGTGGTTTAACCTCATGTGTGTACACCAAAACCATATACGAAGACCCAGAACTGCTTATTTACCGGAGCATTTCCTGCCATCGTTCCTTGATCTTGTAATATGGGGCCATGAGCATGAGTGTATTCCTCATACAACGTCAAATCCAAATGCTGGGTTTGAAACATTGCAACCAGGCTCCTCTGTTGCAACATCGCTAAGCGAAGGGGAAGCCCTCGAAAAGAAAGTGTTTATCCTTAACATACACCATCAGGACTACAGTCTAGAGAGCTTCAAGCTGAAAACAGTGAGACCGTTTCAAATGCTGGAGGTTGAATTGCAACAAGTCCCGAAGTTGAAGCCAGGTGCAGCGTATAGACAAGATGTTACAAGATACCTCATACAACAGGTTGAAACACTCATATCCAAAGCACAAGAAGACTATGAGGGGGACGATGAAACGATGCCACTGCCTCTCATCAGACTTCGTGTTGATTACTCTGGTGGTTATGAAGTGGAGAATCCAAGAAGATTTAGCAACAGGTTTGTTGGACGAGTCGCCAATGCCAACAGCGTAGTTCAATTCCACAAGAGAGCAGAGGCCAGAACTTCAACAAAGTCAAAGGCACAGGATAGACCAGTTGATGCTGTTGATGCTGATAACGTGAACATTGAAACATTCATCTCCAATTATCTTAGAGAGATGGAATTATCTTTGTTACCTGAAAAGGGAATGAATGATGCAGTGAAGAAGTTTGTTGAGAGAGAGGATAAAACAGCACTGAAGGATTACGTTAACTTAGAGCTGGAGGTTGAAGAGCGTGGATTCTTGGAGAATGAGAACTTGGACTTGGAAGATAACTTCAAATCGATCATGGAAAAGATCAAGAAGGAAAGAGAAGAGAGCCAAGCACTCGATTCTGAAGCTGTTCTTCCGATCACAGCACAGACAGAGACAACTAAGAGGCCAACAAGAACAACAAGAACAGTCACAAAGAAACAACCATCAAACAAGTCCAAAGAGATCGTTTCAGAAGATGATTTAGAAGAACTTATAGAACCACAGAAGTCGATCCGTAAACCATCGAAGCCAACAACAACACGTCGTGGCAGAAAGAAGAAAACACCATCACCAGTGGTTTCTAGTGAGGAGGAATTCGACGACGATGACGACGACTTTCAACTGGCTGAAGAAGAACCTATTGAAGTGATCTTATCCAGTGATGATAATGACGTTATAATGGATTTACATACTCCATCACCACCAAAAAAACAAACCAGAACAAGGCAACAAAGGTCAACAGCTATTAAACCAACAGCAGCACTAGGCCGAGATAAACACAGAGCATCATCAAAGGTCTCAGATACAATTAGCGATCTGTTGTCAAAGGGCCGCAAGTAAACGCATCTACATAATTGCTAATGGAGAATATATATACGTATATCATCTTAACGTTAAGTGAGATAACAACAAAAGTTTTTGTTGGCCTATGTACCTCAGAGAAGAATTCATTAATCCTTTGGACCAATCATCTTCTCTGGTCTGACCCACTCGTCAAACTCCTCCTCAGTCAAGGCGTTGAGCTCAAGAGCACTTTGCTTCAAGGTGAGACCCTTCTTGTGAGCGTTCTTAGCAACCTTAGAAGCCATGTCGTAACCGATCTTTGGGTTCAAAGCGGTAACAAGCATGAGAGATTCGTGCAAAGTCTTCTCAATCTTGTCCTTGTTAGCAACGATACCTTCAACACAGTGGATTCTGAAGGAGTTGGCACCGTCACCGATGAGTCTGATTGATGACAACAAGTTGGAGATCAAAACTGGCTTGAAGACGTTAAGCTCGAATTGACCAGAGGCACCGGCAAAGGTGATGGCAGAGTGGTTACCAAAGACCTGACAAGCAACCATGGTGAGGGCCTCGTTTTGAGTTGGGTTGACCTTACCTGGCATGATGGAGGAACCTGGCTCGTTCTCTGGAAGAGACAACTCACCGTAACCACAACGTGGACCAGAGCCCAAGTATCTGATATCGTTGGCGATCTTGTAAAGAGAAACAGCAACGGTGTTCAAAGCACCAGATGCCTCAACAATGGCATCGTGAGCAGCGAGAGCTTCAAACTTGTTTGGAGCAGTCTTGAACTCGTGGCCTGTCTCCTTGGATACTTGAGCAGCAACAGCCTCGGCAAAGCCCTTTCTGGTGTTAAGACCAGTACCGACAGCAGTACCACCTTGAGCAAGGAAGGACAAGTTGATCAACGCGTTCTCGACACGGCCGATACCGTTGGTGAGTTGTTGAACGTAACCAGAGAACTCTTGACCAAGGGTCAATGGAGTGGCATCTTGCAAGTGGGTTCTACCGATCTTGATGATGTCCTTGAACTCCTCGGACTTTGCTTGCAAAGCGTCTCTGAGGGCAACGAGCTCTGGGATCAAATGGTGCTTGATCTCAGTGACAGCTGCAATGTGCATCACTGTTGGGAAAGTATCGTTGGAACTTTGAGATTGGTTCACGTGGTCATTTGGGTGAACCGGCTTCTTGGAACCCAACTCACCACCGAGGATCTCAATGGCTCTGTTGGAGATAACCTCATTGGCGTTCATATTGGATTGCGTACCAGAACCGGTCTGGAAGACAACCAATGGGAAGTGGTCTTTGAGCTTACCTTGGGCAACCTCGTCAGCAGCTTGTTGGATAGCCTTGGACAACTCTGGCTTCAAAGTTCCCAATTCTTCGTTAACAATGGCAGTGGACTTCTTCAAGATACCAAAGGCTCTGACAACAGGCTCTGGCATCTTTTCACGTTCACCACCAATTTTGAAGTTTTGGAAGGATCTTTGGGTTTGTGCACCCCAGTATTTGTCTGCTGGCACCTTCAGCTCACCAAAGGCATCAGACTCGACTCTGTAAGCTTGAGACATGGCTCTAACGGTAGTGTGGAATGATCTAGCAGTTGTTCTGTAACGAAGCATTAGTTGTTTCTAAACTCTGGGTTGTTTCTCTTTACGATTTCAATTGAACGTTCAAATAAAGGAACTGTGATTTCAATCGAAGTTGGAAGGAAGAAAAGGAAACAAATTGACCAGAAACAGATGTGCGTGGCTTGTACCGGTGGGAATTTAAGTAACGCTGCCAGGGTAAATGGAAAGGGGACAATGGTTGGGGGGTTTTTTGTTTTTTTTTTTTCGAATCCGACGTCGCTTCCGGTGAAACATGACTGGCTGAACATAAATACGGGGAAACATGGTCATGGATTGGTGCAAGGGTTAATGGGTGTTTGGATGAATCATAGCATGTTTTTTTTTTTTTGTTTTCTGTTGTAGTCCATCCTCATTCATCAACATTTTTTTTACAATCTATGATATGGGTTCAATCTAATAGAATAGTTAGTCAGGTTCTCAGCATTGAGAGTTTATTAACAGATTGATTTAGTTAAAGAAATCTTCTTCAAAGGTATCATAATACTCTGTGTATCACACGTCTCACTCCCTCACCACTGATGCTGACACGGTTATCGGAAACAAGTTTGTTCAAAGCCTCGGACATTTCAACGGTTTCAACATTAAGTTGGGATTGCTTGTTGAACTCTGATATAAGGTTATTGAATGTGATGGAATTATCTGGTAATTCCTCGATGAACTTGAACAGTGAATTTGTCAAGTCCTCCTTCAGACGTCTTTCAGTGGAACTTTGACCAGTTTGAACCAGATCCATATCGATTTTACCAGTTAGGGGATCCATCGCGTAATCCTTAATAGCACTCTTGATTAACCTCACGGCTTCTTGAACGTCGCCTAGCTCGACAAGCTCAGAGAGTCTCATCTTTGCGTGAGCCTCTGATAATCTGATCATGCTCTCCAATTGTCTTGTTGTTGCAGTGATTCTCTTTTCATTGGCCCTTGAATCATCACCCATTTTACGCATATCGACATAACATTTAACCAATTCATCCTTAGCCTCAGGTGTCAATTTTGGGAAGCAGTTCTGCTTTGCATATCCGATATACATCGTCAAGAACTCAACAGGCAAGACTTCCGTCTCCGCAGCGTTATCTGGAGTGTCTTCGAGGTACATATTGGTGATGTGTTTCGCAAGCATACGATCCATACGATCGTCAACTTTATCCAACAATAGATAAACAAGGTCGAATCTTGACAGTAACGGAGGTGGAAGATCAATGTTTTTAGTCACTGGAAGTGTTGGATCGTATCTAGAGTGAACAGGGTTGGCCGATGCTAAGATAGATGTACGAGCGTTTAACGTTGTGATGATACCAGCTTTGGCGATGGAAATGGTTTGTTGTTCCATAGCTTCATGCAAAACACTTCTTGTAAACTCATTCATCTTGTCGAATTCATCAATACAACAAACACCACCATCACTTAAAACTAAAGCACCAGATTCAAGCACAAACTGTCTAGTGTCGATATCACGCGTAACATAAGCTGTTAAACCCACAGCGGAAGACCCTTTTCCAGATGTATAAATACCTCTTGGTGCAATCTTATGAACATACTGTAACAGTTGTGACTTCGATGTAGATGGGTCACCACAAAGCAAAACGTTTATGTCACCTCTGTATTTACCACCTTTGGTGAATTTTTTCGAAGTACCTCCAAACAACTGCAACAATATACCCTTTTTAACGTCATCCAGTTCGTAGATACTTGGTGCAACAGATCTTGCAAGCAACTCATAAACATCCAATCTGTTTGCAACGCTCTTAATCTTTATAATATCATCTTCGGTGATTTTTCTAGTCTCTTCAACGTCCTGCTTTCTGGAAATATCAGAATCAACGTTTAAAGAAGTGTCAATGTTCAACCGTCTTTTGTCGGTTTTCTTAATGTGCACAACATCCAAAAAAGTTTTGTAGAGCGATCTCAAGACTCTTTGTCTTGCATTGACTCTAACAGGAGTAGATCTGAAGATACCAGTTGCTTCAATCTTGTCACCGGGTCTCATGCTATCAACGAGTTCATCGTAGACACATAAAGAAACGGAATGTGGAGTTTGACCGTCTGGAACATTATCCGGGGTCTCCTGGACCTTGATAATCTGCTTATCCGCGAAGGAGCATCTGTTATGTATAAGGATCATCGAGTTGGGTTGTGCACAAGCATTACGTGGACACACCGTTGGCTCCTGTATGATACCTCTGTCAATTTCAACCACCGTGGTGTGTTCACAAACGTTACATCTAAAGAACGCGATCTTCATGTCTGGAATCACAGGTGTTGATCTGATAACGATTCCCTTGATGGAGACTAGTCTGTCGATATCATCTGGATTCAACTCACGCATGTCCTTTTGAGTGGAAACGTTAAACGGTCTCACCTTGTAAATACTACCTTCAATCTCTGAAATCTCAAAGTCGAGATCGTTATCCATCACTAGTTGAACCATGCAGTCCTTCACTGTCTGGTCCATTATCGGGATGACTTCCTGTGGATAATCCTGTAATTGTTGATATAGCTTCTTAGTTGCAGGGTACGCCAACAAATTTCTGGCATCCAGGTTCAAATTGGTGGTCCCCAACTCACGCATCTCATTCATGAGGTTGATGTAGTACAAATCTTCATCGTCGCCGTCGAAGTCGGCATCCACGTCATCACCGTCAAGCTGCTTTCTATGGCGAATCTTGAACCCCGTCAAGAAGTCTCTGAACTTGTGCGTCACTTCAACGATACTAACGTTCGTACCCCAAATAACCCTAACGTTATCCTCCTGTGCATCAACGTCACCACCGGCACCATCAGACAGTCCACTATTCAAGTTCGAGCTGCTGCCAATATTCATGTCCTGCGGCACCTCACGACGTTGGCGCCTTGGTGATGACAGATCAGAGCCGTGGATATCACCTCTCATATGGCGGAGATTCTCAGCACGGCGTCTGGCATTGATGTCAGAGCGGATATCACTGGCAAGGTCGGTATGATCTGTTCTGCCTCTTCCCTCACTGCCCAAGGCGCTTGAAGAGTAGTGCAAAGGAGAGCTAGCACCTGCACCTGAGCCTGCTCCACCTTGACCGATGGAGGAGCCTGGGTTGGAGGAAGGAAAGAACAACGGGGAGCTCACCTCAGCGTTGGCGGCTCTTCTCCTCTGCTCCTGTGCTGTGGACTCAACGTCTGAGGATGGCGCTACGAACAACGGCGAGGATGGCACCGGCGGTTGGCCCTCGCCGTGTTGTGAATCGTTTGGTGAACTCATTGTGATGAAGCGCTTGGTGGAAGATCGCTTTGTTTACACCGCTTTGTTTACACTGCTTTGTTTTTGTGGTTGTTGATGTTGATATTGGTGATGCTGTTTTTGTGGCTTTTGTGGGTTTCTAAAAAAAATTCTGTTGACGTGTGGAAAAACGCGTCTAATTAATTTTCCCGATTAGGAAAGCACGCGTAACGACGTGTAAGCTGTCTGTTCAATGGTAAATAGATTATGGGGGAGTTACACGGTCAATCGCCGCACTAACAGAAACAGGAAACTCTGGTATCGATCACCTGTTTGATCTACCGATATTTTTAACCACCTACAACGGTGTATTCACCCACTTTACAAAGAAGCCTGGGCTCTACTTATAGATACGTATCATCTCAGAGACCTAAAAGACCGACAAGATGAAGGACAATGGCGCCGTGTACAATGTTCCCGAAATAGAGCCCTTGCGTATGTTCAGAGAAGCTCGTGTGGCACCAGCTGAGCCTGGAGCAGTGCTCCCTCCAGAGACTGCCTAGTACGATGGTGCGAGCGTGCTATTTGTCTCTGTTCCAGTCGTACTCTCAGCAGCGATGTACGCATTCAATGAGACTGGAGTAGCATTCGCATCTACAGTTTCTTCTGTGCCAACGGCTCCACTGTCGTCACTTTGTAGAATGTCCTATGTTTCAGCTGTACTCAGTCCACGTGAGGCCACTGAGAGGGTCACGACTTGTGTAGTTGTGCGCGTAATAACCATTTCAGTGCTTGACTCGTCACGACAAGACTTCACCACAGAAGTGATGACGGCTAGAGCCGTCTCCGTGGTGTGGCTTCCACCTGAATCAAAGGGAGCATAAGTTGTGTATGTAGATTCAACGCTATTGAAGGTGCCTGTGGCAATTGAAATGTCCGCAGTGATCACCTCCTCAAGGCAAACATCGTTGGTACAATGGGTTGTCATGGGAGCTGTGGTGGACACACCATCCTTCGTTGCTTCAGCGTGTGATGTAAGCTCATTGTTGTCGATAGCAGACACCGTTGTCGCACCAGTGGTGGCAACAACTTCATTACAGTGGTTATCCTCACAGGAAGTTACGGTTAGTATGGTGGTATTCATTTCCCTCTTTGGCGTGGGTTCTGCTGTGATTACGCCGTTGGTAGTATAAGACGTAACATTTCCTGTTCAACTGTGATTGCAACGATAACACCGGTGGTTACCTCTTCAACAGTACGCTGATCATCTTTAAGCAGGGGTTTGGTGATAACAGTGGTGGCAGGCTCCGTTGACATGGCGTCTTCTGAGCTATGTGTACCACACGCTCCTGATGTGATCAATGGGAACTCACTAGAAAACTTACTGTTACACTCACTAGAAGACTCGATGGAAGACATAGAACTTGACCCAGTTGAAGACACAGTATAAATATCACCGGAAGGTTAACTAGATTCTCCACTGGATGACAAAACTGCCATGCCGGTAACAGTGGTCTCCAGGTTCCAAGCAACAACAGCTTTCTTAACCAGCCTATGATTGTCCAAAGTAGTGATTGCAATGCGTGCATGCAATACCCATACATTGTCGGTAGTGACTTCGCTTTCAATAACAAATGAAAGTTTCTCATTGTATGGGATTTCATTGTTGATATGTGCAAGAGCATCTGTATAAACGAATCCGCTGTTATAAGTGTCATTCTTGGTGATTATAACTTCCACTTGTATCAATGGACCAAGTATAGCAGGAATACTCAGACTCAGGTAACAACAGAGTCTCCAGTATTCCCTTCTTAGGTATTTGGTGTTCCTGTAAACGTCGAGCTGTACGTTGAGTTTGCAGCATCAGAGGATGTCGTTGGAGGTTCATTGGGGGCTCAGCTGAGGATGCAGTTAATTCAACAGAAGGCACAGGAGACTTGCTTGACAATTCAGATGGCGATTCAGATGATACTTCAGATGAAGAGTCAAATGATGATCCACCGGGCTCGCTGGAAGATTCACTTGAAGATCTACTTGATCATTGAGTTAATGATTCTGACGATCTTGTTGATGATCCTGTTGACTATCAGCTGGAATATTCAGTAGATACTTCACTGGATTCGCAAGACGCCAAAGATTCCGTAGACAATTCTGAGGATAATGACAATTCAACTAATAACTCAGAGGATAATGATACGGATAACAGCAATGATCACTGACTCGACAATTCGCTCATAGATTTGCTCACAGCCATATTGAAGGACATATCGAAAGATGTTGTGATATACTCCCTGACAAAAAGACTGAAAGGCTCAACAGCATATGATTCCACCGATACACTGGATGATTCACATAATCCTGTGGATGACATACAAGGGAACCCAACAGCAACCAAGTCTACATACTCATCACTAGGACTTTCTTTTCCAAATTCATTGATATTACCAACTGTTGGTCTGGAAATCACTCAACATGAAGTCGATTCAAGAAGTGGTACTATCAACAAATGTATCAATAGTTTCATCCTTGGACAGCTTCATACGACGAGAGAGCGGAACCCATGCGGCACCTGGGACTCCTTAGATAGCACTCCTTTAAAATCTGTTCAGGCAGTGGAACTTGAGACACTGCTGCATCGCAGATCAATGTCTCTGCATCTGAGCCACCGGCTCCCTATCATGGTGTCCATAGGGCTATTTGACCATGGCCAATCACTCCTATTCACTTCCATCGTATGTGACTCTATGTTGTTTCCAGATATCGGTGTGCATAATGGAGATGAATCATTCCTTTGGCTGCAAACTGCATAGCCTGTTCAAAGAATCATGGTCCACTTGCCACTTCTTCTCTGTTTGTTTGCTTCCGACTTTGGTGGCTAACGATCTCAAGGTGTTTTCGATTGTAATCTTTGTATAGTTTGGTAGCTCTTTTTTCAGAATCTCAACCATTGTTGGAATGCTAAACTCACAATCGTGTACTTTGTCCGCAAACTTCTCTAAATCGTCACGGTCAGTGATCATCGTCTTTGATTTCTTCTTCAATGGTGTTTCTGCATTACCACCATTGCTCTGTTGTTGCTGTGTTTGCCAATAGTTGAATGATGGATCCAATGGAAGTGAAACATTTGGTTTCAAGACTTCAAATCTGATACAACCAGCTGATGTTTGGTCAGAATTTCCCCATGTTATTACTGGAATGAGTGGTCCAAGGATCTTCTTTCTCTGTTCTGTGCTGTTACCACCGTTGTTATCTTCTTCGAGGAAATCAGTCATCTCGTCTTCGTCGTCGTCATCGTCATCTTCGTCATCATCGTCATCATCTATATCTTCTCCCTCACCATCGTCATCTTCATCGATAACGTCATCGAAATCGATGAATTCCTTATCCAAGGTTCTAAGAGGGTCAGAGCCCAATCCATGGCAACTTTGGGTGTATGATCCTATCCAACTCTTTACACTTTCGTAAAACTTGATGAATTTTATACGGATTGGTGCACTTGTCAGTCCATTCTCATAGATATACTGTGCAGTCGCTCCTTCATTTTCTCCCTCCTCCTTTAACACAGGGAGTGATCTGAACCATTGCAACAAGTCGCTTTGTGAACACTCGTTCTCAAGAGCCTTATCAAAGTCATTAACAGATTCGGTCAGCTGTTCCTTTGACAAGTTTCCAGCCAGTGTCACTCCCTCACGGATGAAGAAAGGTTTGAACGATTTACGATAGTCATTCTCCCTCAACCTGTGGTCTGATCCTTGCTGTTGCTGCTGTTGCTGTTGCATCAGCACCGATGTGGACTTGACAGAGGTCTTTGGTTTGAAGAAATTACTGATCTTCAACTTATCTTTTTTCTTCTTCTCCTGTTCTTCCTTGAGCTTCTTCTCCTGTTCCTTTTGTAGTCTCTCCTGCTCTTTCTTCAGCTTTTCTTCTTGCTTCTGCTTCTCCTTCTCCTCTCTCTCCTTTCTCAGCTGTTCTCTCTTCAGTTCATTCTCCCTTTTGATTCTATCCTTCTCCTCCTGTTTCTTCTTCCTCTCCAACAGCTGTTGCTGTCTCTTCTCCTCTTTCAGTCTCTTCTCTTCTTCTTTTGCCCTTTCCCTGTTGAGTTTCTCCTCCAGTCTCTTTCTCTCCCTTTCCTCTTTCTCCTTAAGCTTCTCGAGCTGTTTGGGGGTCAGCTTCCTCTCAGAAGTTTGTGCTGGAACGGACAATGATGTATCATCATCATCATCAACGCTAACCACAGTAATTTCAGATGTATTTCCTAGTTCTTGGATCTTCAAAAGCTCAACAGACTCGTTATCATTCATCTCGACAACTTCTTCCTTCATGAATTGGATACCTTTACTAACTCTTTCAACCCGGATATGAGAAGAACACCACAAGTTGATGCTTGATACCGACGCGTGAAAACTTCCAAAACACGAAAAGTTTATACGCATTTCTTTTTTCGCGTCAGTGATTATGTAATATTTATGTCATCATTATGTAATGTGTCATGTGTCATGTGATATCGATATATAACACACGTGACTTTTTTAACTCCTCCAAAATAGAGAGAAAAGTATGTAAACAAAGTCCAATATCATCTTCAACTGTTCATTTCTTCTCATGAACACCTACAGAGGTTGGATGCCATATGCTCTGATTGTCTGATATTGTGAGATATCAGCACGGTGTGAAGTAACAATAATGTCGAGCTCGGACGATATCTTCATCTCTACTCAGATCCAATCACGGCTAGATGATATTGAAATGGAGGAAGAGCTGAAGGTGAAGAGGAAGACTCTCTTGGAGAAGTTTATGAATGTTCCCCCGGTACCGTTGTCGTCTTCATCTTTGTCAAGTGGTGTTCTAGAGGTTAGTAAACCTGAGAGTAAGAAGAAAGGCACCAAGAAGAAGCCGTCGAATAGAAGGAAAAAGGCCAACTTGAGTGTTACAGAACAGATGATTCTGAAATTGAGTGGTAAACCACAGAAGTACAACCGTATGATACATACACAAGGGTTGAACTCCGTCGATGTGCCCTTGTCGAGGGACTATGACAATGTCTTCGATTCTAAAGAGTGGCAGACTGTAAGGTTTAGCCTCCATTTGAATGGACAGTGTCACTATGGGAACAATGATGAATTAACGAATGACGGTAGGGTGATCAAGGAAGAGATTGGTGAAGGTGATATGACCAAAGATGACGGAAATATGCAGTTATGGTCAGTTGCAAGTCAAGCACCCGTGGATTTGCAGGACTCATCGATGTGTAATGGGACAACTCCAACTGCTGTCAAAACGGATGATTTTGACTCTGCAATCACTCTTAGTCAGTGCCTACTGCCTCTATTGGACCACAAGGAGGAACAACCGGATGAGATAATTGAGATTGAAGATTCAGAGGGTGAACTTACCATCATCGACGTTGAAGAGTTCTGTAAATTGAATGGAATCACCACAACCACAGTACATAGAGAGAAAAGGCGTATAAAGGTACCCTTCTATGGGATCAATGAAAATGAATCGAAAGCTTCAAGGGACTACGTGGAACTTCATGATGCATGGGAGGATAATGAAGTGGTCTACAACACCACTGACGATGAAACGGACATGGGCTATATACTATTAGAGGTTTAACAAATATTAACGAGAAATCGATGGACTTGGTTAGATGCAGTTAAACTCCATCAGATAAAAGAGCATTTAACCCTTGAATATAAAGCTGGTCCATTGCGTAGACCTACTGACAAGGATATTTCATCTCTGATTGTTAAACCGAGCGTTGATTTGGGAAAACCACAATGTGATGAGGGTGAACAATAAAGAAGGAAGAACAAAGAGGCTCTTGCAAACATTTCCATCGATTCCCACATAAGCATACTCCCATAGGAGCGATTTTCTCCCGCGACATTCATGGTCTCCTGGATACCATCAGCAACTCTATCAAAATCACCATGAGAGATGAACTCTCTAATCTTCTGTAGTTCGACTGTGCTCGTGTAGGAACGCCGAATCTTCTCCATTATCTCAAAATAACTTTCGAAATAGTGTTAATCAGGGGTCATAAGAGCTGCCTGTGTGACAAAACCTTCTATACCGTTTGAACTCAATTCTCTACGAACTCCTGTTCACTCCTCCTTATGCTTAGCTAACATCTGGGAGAATCCGTTTCATGCTAGTCGTCAAGCTCAATTGAAATCCATTTTGAGCTCTTGGTCGTGATATATTGATCTTGTATCAACAGACTGAAGAGCAGGTGCTAACCTCACAGAACCTCCCTGTTCGTGAGTCTCCTCTTCTGGTTTTCAGGATACTTCTCTCTGCACGGAGTAGACCTTTCTTCAATTAGCTCTTTACAAACCTCATCTTCATTTCCGTCATCGCCTCCATTTCAGCACTTGTGCCACTTGCGTCTAAAGAAACGTTCGGTTTTACACACTATCTATCGCTCTTTAACGCTCTGTTATTTGTCCTGTCACAGTGTTAACCAAAACCACCTGTTCATGTCTTATAACCAGCTGAATTATAAAGACTCCATGCGTCTGTCCAAGTCGGAGATCTCTGGAGAAAGACACCTCAACCTTTGCCCTTGCATTGGTCTCCAACAGTGGCACCTGTGTCTCGTCCAGCGTACACAACGGTGGGCTGACTTCCAGAGCCTCCATTACTCAGCTAGTTCGAAGATATATTCCGAGCACTGCTAAAGGAAGCTTCAAGTGTCGGTATTAAGGCTATAGTCTAAGAGTAGCATGCTTACTGTCCATTTGGTCCCGGACATATGCATCTGAGCGTCTCAGCGAGGCATCTGGATAACGAAGCTGTGCATTGTGGACTTGGGACACGTTGTCCGAAGTTAAATGACGGGACTAAATTTCCCTGAGAACCAGCGTTTACACTGGTTGGAAAGGCGCAACGGGGTCTCCCACTTGAGCCACACTCTTTCTGATTACCGTCGTCGTGCTCACTCTGTCCTTCTGGGTCTCAGGATGAAAATCCCCGCCTACTTATTTGGCTTTGAAACCACTTCGTCCTCATGTCCCTGGCCTGTGGTTTCTCCATTCTGGTCTGAAAAGCAATTCGGCTCGGTTATAATGGGCCTACAAAGGTAACCGGACCATTGAGGTTGGAGATATTGATATTGGCAGTCATGAGTTCAATTACTCCGGTGTGAAAGAGGGCTTTATGAGTGCTAATTTTCTCTGTGTTCTCCTAAGCTTCTGGACCTCATGTTGGTTCCCACATGGCCTTTGTCCCAAACGGAGGGACTGGACTTGGCCGCCACTTTGAATGCTCACCGGAGCGCTTCCTATTTGGGAAGGAGCCATTGTCCATTGGTCTAATGCAAATGTGCGTGAAGCTTCAACTTAGATTGGCTTCTCTGATCAACAAAAAGCACAACGGTGGTGCTTGTCCATGTGTCCTTATGCTCTATGTATGAGCATCGCCTCTATTTACACATGTTTGGTCTTTACAAGCAATATAAAATGAACTGGTGAACGTATATATTATAGGTAATGAAGTACAGAAAATGTATCAGAACGTGTATCCTGGGTCTCAAACCCACCTATAGGAAGAAGAAGCAAAATAAATGAGAGCCAATGGGATGGAAACACGCTGGAAACCTTGACAAATTTCGAAATCAAAAATTGTGTGCGAAAGAGTCCAAAGGAGAATGAAACAACTTGTTGTGAATGACCTTGAAATCAGATCAAAGCGACAGCAAAAAGAAGAGCAGAAAGTGCTGAAACCACAGACTTTTTGGCTGCTGCACCTTCATATGAAGTGACACTTGCCGTGGTCTCAGAACCAGCTTCAGTAGAAGATCCTGATGATCCAGCTTCAGTAGAAGATCCTGATGATCCAGCTTCAGATGATCCTGATGATCCAGCTCCAGATGATCCTGATGATCCAGCTCCAGATGATCCTGATGATCCAGCTCCAGATGATCCTGATGATCCAGCTTCAGATGATCCTGATGATCCAGCTTCAGATGATCCTGATGATCCTGATGATCCAGAGGATCCAGCTTCAGTAGAAGTGGTTGAAGATCCGGACTCGCCAGATTTGCCAGATTCAGTGGAAGCAGCAGCCTCTAAAGTAACAGTGGCAGTAACCTTGGTGATCTCTTCCTTCTCGGAAACTGAGTAAGAGGTGGTACCACTAACAACAATCTCAGCAGTCTCGGACTTGGTGATAGTAACCTCATCAACAGCAACACCATAGCTTTCAACAACCACAGTGGTGGACTCTGAACCACCAACAGTACTAACAACAGTGACGGTAGTAACAGTTGCCTCAGCACCAGTACCGTGAGTCTCAACAACATCAGTAGTGATGACGGAGCCACCAGTAGCGGTAACGATGGTCTTTGTCTCAGTGACAATAACATCGTAACACCCACCCTCGCATTCAATGGTCTTGGTGATAGTTGTGGCACCCTCTTCACAAACTTCACATGGGATGGTAACGCAAACGACCTTCTCGGTGTGTGTCTTGGTGGTGAGGTATGTCAATGGACAGTAGGTGGTATAAGAAGTAACGATACCAGAAATGGTCTCAGTAACGACAGTGACACCAGTTGGAGCCTCAGTTTCATGGCACTTGTTATCCTTACAGCTTGTGATGGTAACAAGTGTAGTGCTGTCCGCAGTGACAGTACTTGTCTCTGTAGATGAGGTTAAAGTGATATCTGGTGATTCGGAAGTGGTCTCAGTGGAAGGCTCAGAGGACTCTTCAGAGGATTCAGCAGA